TCATATTTGTCTCTAATCATCGTCATCATAATCTGTAGACTTTCATTCCTTTATCTATTTATTTATTCATTCATTCATTCATTTCTTTGATCGTTCGTTCGTTTGTTTGTTCGTTGGTTCTTTATTTCAATTATTCATTATCACCGTCAAATAGACATTTATTGAAGAATAAATTAGTGTTAATTCTGAAAAAAACAAACAAACCTATTATTCAATCAATTAATGAATTGGTTAAATAATTGGTAATTAGTCGGTTAATTAGCTATTTAATTAATTGTTTAATGCACGTTACAATAATTTACTTCCCATCCTGCCATCTATCGATTCTTTTCATAATTTATTGTGGTAATAATACTTTGTTTATAACGACGTCTGCTTGTTTAATGCTGTTTATACATATCAACAAACATACTTACATACAAACATACATACAAACATATATACAAACATACATACATACATAAATACATATACATACATACGCACGTACGTACGCACGTACGTACATCACACACACACACAAAAGTACATACGTACAAACATTTTACATATGTTTAGTATTTTTGTTCATGTTTACTTTTTTTTCATGAATATACAATTTTTTATGTTTGTAAATTTTTTTTATTGAATAAGTTTGTATTTTTTTGTATTGGGTATTTTTTATAAGTTTTATTTTTATGTTTAAATAATGATAGATGGTCAGAAGATAAGATCTTTGGCAAATATTACAGACGAACGTGTTTGTCTGTATAAATGTGTGTTCGTTTGTTTGTTCGTTCGTTTGTTTATTTGTTTATTTGTTCTTTCGTTTGTTTGTTACTGCTGATGCTGGAACATCTAATGCTATAGCTTTGTTTGTTGTTTTTGTTGGTGTTGTTTTTTATGCTGTTATTTAACTAGTGTTATTTTTAATGTTTGTCAGTAAAGTTGTTATTACTGTTGTTGATGTTGATGTTGTTGTTGTTTGTTAATGAAGTTGTTATTACTGTTGTTGATGTTGTTGTTGTTGTTGTTTGTTAATGAAGTTGTTATTACTGTTGTTGATGTTGTTGTTGTTTGTTATCTATGCTGCCTATATGACGTCATTTTGGAAGATGAACTGGTTTCCTGCTTGCGACTGACTTTTGTGGATATCTACTACAATGTTAATCTGATGAGATTTATTTTATATAATTTGTGTATATACTTGTATCTTTGTGTGTGTTTGTTTGTTTGTGTATGTATATATGTGTGTGTATTTGTATATGCTTGTATGTGTGTGTTTGCATGCGTGTATGTTGTATGTATATGTATGAGAATCTTAAATGCATACGCGTTTGGCATAGCATAGACTTGATAGCATGGATGAATTGTTGGGAGCCAATGCTAAATATATCTACAATATAAGTTTGTCGTTGTTTAGAAAGTGAAGATGGTTGTATGTTTGTAAGTTGGTTTGTATGTCTGTATGTGTGTTTGTTGGTGTTTGTTGGTGTCTGTACGTTTGTATGTACGTTTGTATGTATGTTTAATTGTTTGTATGTGTATGTTTTAGTTTACCATTTAAACAATTTCAATAAGGCTTATTTATCTAGGATAAGACTTTTGTTATAAACATTCAACGTTATAAACAACAACAACAACAACATCAGTGATGATATCAACAACATCTAGAATAATGAATAAACAACAACAACAACATTATTAAAACTTTAACATGGATATACCCGGAAATGATGTCGACACTAACAACCACATCAATGACATCAGCAGCAGCAACATCAACAACAACAACAACGACTACGTCAACACCAACATCAACAACATCACCATGACAACAGATCTAACTTTGCGCACTTATAAAACGCGCGATTGGGACTTAGCAACAATTCAAATAAACGTACAACTATTTATATTTATGTTTACATTTCTAGGGAATTCCCTCGTTCTATTTTTAGTCATCAACTTATCCCGGAAACGCCGTCGGGAGCAACTCGGAAGGATGTACACGATGATTGGTTGGTTATTTGGTCGACTGAGTTTTTGATTGGTTGTGTAATGGTTTAAGATTAACTGGTTGAGTTTGTAAACTGAATTGCCAAAGTAATAGCTAATTTTGAGTGCGTGATTGTTTATTGGTCGATTCTTCAATTTATTTAACCAATAAAAACTCAGGTCACTTAAGCCTAGCCGATCTATTAGTCGCCACTTTGAACCAACTGCCTCAGCTGGCCTGGGATATGACCTTCAGATTTAAGGGTGGTCCTGTCCTTTGTAAGGCTGTTAAATTTGGGCAGGTTTCTGAAACTGTTGATGTTGGTGTTTTTTGCTGCTTTTGAATATGCTGCTGCAACAATACCATTAAAAGCTCGTAACAGCAATTCCAAACCACCACAATGACATCATTGCAACATCACTCAATCAAAATCAGCCAATCAAAATCAGCCAATCAAAATCAACCAATCAAAATCAACCAATCAAAATCAACCAATCAAAATCAACCAATCAAAATCAACCAATCAAAATCAACCAATCAAAATCAACCAATCAAAATCAACCAATCAAAATCAACCAATCGGATCAAATCTCCAGGTTCTGACAATGTACGCCTCCTCCTACGTCCTCGTCTCGACCGCCATTGACAGGTACATGGCAATCTGCCATCCAATGAAAACTCACGCCTGGACCACAAACCACGCCCACAAGTTGGTAGGCGTGGCCTGGCTGATTGGGGCTCTCTTCTCCACGCCACAACTATTTTTATTCAGCTGGAAAGAGGTTGCTGAATGAATGAATCGATGGATGGGTGGATGAATTGTTGAAAATAAGATTAAATGAATGAATTTTTAAATGAATTACATCATTACCATCATCATCATCATCATCAACATCTTCATCATCTTCATCATCATCACAAAAGGTCATTATCCCAAAAGGTCATTATCACCAAAGGTCACTATCATTATCACAAAAGGTCATTCAACAGAGTGGCGAATACGATTGTTTAGCACGATTCCAACAAAACTGGACAGTGCAGCTGTATACATTCTGGTTCACAATAGCCGTGTACCTCACACCTTTCGTCCTGTTGAGTTACATCTACACGAAAATTTGCTACGTCGTGTGGCGAAGCGTCAGTGCGTGTAGCGTCGGTAGTTCGTGTGGTACCGCCACTGCATCTCGCAATGCTGCTGCTGTAGTTGTTGCTGCTAAGAAGAAGTGTGTTGTTGGGATGGTGGATAGTAAGAAAGATGTTGTTGTCGCTGCAGTTGATGATAATGTTGTTGTTGATGAAGATGTTGTTGTTGTTGATGATGCTGTTGATGATGATGATGATGATGGCGTTGACAATGGCAAAACGATCATCGACCGAATCGATGAAAACAACAACAATAATAATAATAATAATAACGACAACAACAACAACAACAATAATAATAACGACGACACTAATAATAAAAGTATAAATAATAATAAGAAGAATAATATGAAGGATAAAAATTACGCCGAGATCAATGCGAAAAGTAATTACGGACCTCTTGATGGAGATCACGCTGATAGCGATAATTACAGCAACAATAACAACAACAACAGCAACAACAACAATAATAATAATAATAATGATAATAATGACGTCATAAAATTATTTTCCAATCATCGCCGTGTTGAAAAATTTAGCAGTTTAACGATTTTTACCAGAACAACTACTTCTACTACTTCTACTACTACTACCACTACTACCACTACTACCACTACTACTACTACTACATCATCATTATCACTACCAACATCATCATCATCATCATTATTGCTAACACTGACAACAGCAATCACATCAATGACATTACCGTCCTGTAAAACTGCATTAACGACAATGTCGAAACCTCAATTAACATTCACGACAACATCAACAACGGCTGCAGTAAGAGAAGCTGCCACAGTTACTACTTCAATAACACCAACAGCAACTACTACAAGCTCAACTTCGACTACTACCACCACAAAAGCTACAATGTCACAAAAACCACCATTCCAAACAACAGCAATTCACCATCACCAACAACAAAAACAGCAACAAAACAAAAAACCGCCCCTCCAATCAAATCTCCCGTACCATCTTTTACCACTACCTTACATTCTCTCGCCAGCTAATCAGAATTTAGGTCAAACATTGACCAAAGCTAAAACCAGGACTGTGAAATTAACACTGGCCGTCGTTGTTGGCTATCTATTGTGCTGGGCCCCCTTTTTTGTTGCTCAATTTTGGTGGGCCCTGGACCCCAATGCCCCTGTAGAAGGTATTTTGTATCTTTGGATCTTTTGGGTAATTGAAATTTTGTGGTATCTTGGGTATTTTTCTTCTGCAGTTGTATGCATGTATTGATGTAGTTTGTACACTTTTTTGTTAGTCTATATCATTTCGTACATTGACACATTTTTTGTTTAACGATGCCGACGACGACGATGATGATGACGAGGATGATGACGTCATAGTAATAATAAGGATAATAATAATAAAAATAATACTAAATAATAGTAGTAATAATAATAATGATGATGATGATGATGACGATGATGATGGCATAAAGAGAGACAACATCAAATAACGAGCAGACGCGTTTTGCTCGAAGACATGAAGAAACCTGAACGAGCCTATCATGTGTTAGGGGAAAAATATTTATAGAAAACAATGATTGAAAAAAGACTTTGAAATGAATGAAAAAGAAAATGAAAGAAAGAAAAAGAGAGAGAGAGAGAGAGAGAGAGAAGGGGAGATAGAGACGGAAAGTAAAAATAAGCGAACGCAAACTCATGAAAAAGAACGTGGCAGGTGAAGCGAACAAGAGAGAATGGAGAAAGAGGAAACAAAAAAAACACCAGAGAGAGAGAGAGAGAGAGAAAGAGAGAGAATAGATAAAAAGAAGAAGAAAAGAGAAGAAAGAATGTAAAAATAAATGAGCGTTGTTTTTTACTGAAAATCATGATTATTAAGATCATTATCATTTAATTAACACCATAACCAACCAACCAATCGCAGAAGACTTCATGGTCATTCCACTGCTCCTTGGCAGTCTAAACAGTTGCATCAACCCCTGGATCTACATGGCATTCAGCGACCAATTGAGACTCCAAGCCAGCAACATCTTCTGCAAATACTGTCGCTGCAACCGCCGCTACAACCACCGCAACGTGCAACCGCAACCACAGCAGCAATACTCACAACAACCGAAATTACCGGTTTTTAAAAGTAGTTTCGGCAGCTGTAATAGTAGTAGTGGCGGCAAAGTTCTGGATGTTAACCGAGTTAGTAAGTGGCTAAATAGAAGCCTAACTTCGTCGCTATCAAGTGGCGGACGAAGCTGTGGCAAACAACGCGCCACTGTTAACTTTTCGCCCAAATTAGACAAATGACGTGCATAAACTCAAGTACAGACATTCGTACCAACTTACACTGACGCTGTTCTTAACTTGTGATTGACTATTTTTGAATGATTTTTTATTATATAAAATTTGGTATGTCTGCCTGTCTAGATATGTTAAATAGATAGATAATAATAATAATAATAATAACAAAAACGACAAAAACAACAACAATAATAATAATTATTATTATTATTGTTGTTGTTGTTGTTGTTGTAACAATGATGAAACGTAGGTAATGAAAGTTGGTAATACAACTCTTGGAATTTAATAGCAATGGAAAATTATTTTTTGAACACATTTTCATAGGAATCTTAATACATTTTACACACACACACACCACACACACATACACACACACACATACATACCAACACACATATATACACACATAAACACACCCACCCAACATTAATGTTTTAAAAAACTCACTTTTTTGAAAGCTCGCGTGAATTGAATATATAAAATTTTGAGAAAAAAAACACATTTTTTCGCATAAAATGCTCATTCATTCGTTTAACTTGAAATTCACTGTGTTTAGTTTGTTGTTTATTCTGTTTATATTATTGTGTTTTGTTTATATTGTTTAATAGTTTGACATTTAATTTTGATGTGGATCGTATGTTTCTCTATAATGTATTAATTCTTCTTTATAAACATATGTTAGTTTAATTATTTTTAAAACAAAACAAAATTTAATTCAATAAAATGTCTACTTGGGTGAATACAAAAACAAAATAATTCAGTAGGCAATGGATGAAAATATTCATCAAATGTAAATAATTAAAAAACCAGACAACCCAGGAGTAAGACACATTCCATTACACATCAGATACACTTGCACGGCGCCAAGCGACGCGAAACCAAACCACACCACACGGACATCACCACATCACACGCAGCCACACGCTGCCACACGACACCACACCACACGATGCCACACTACACGACGCAGGAACACGTCATGTGACTGAATGAACGTAGCTGCTATAAAATACAGGCACAATGCGAATAATGAAAATGCAGATAGGCGTGCCAAATACAAGATTTGAAAAAATACAAAAATATACTAAATATACAAGAGTACAAAATATACTAAAAAATATAAAATATACTAAAAAATACAAAATACCACGTAAAAATCTTCAGACATACAATAAATAATTTTTAAGAGCTCGGTTGTTTAGGTACTTTCGACCTCTTTCCTTTTTCTCCTTCTCCTCCTCTCTCTTTCTCTATTTTCTCATTTCATTTTTTCCCTCTATTATTCTCTTTCTCTCTCCCTCTCATCTTTCTCCATTTTATACACACGCATGCACCAAAAGAACAAAAAACACATAAAACTTTCAAAGTTTCGTCTTGGTATTTTCAGGTATTAAAAATACGCACAATGTGCCGCATGTAAACGTATACAGGTGTGAATGAAAGAATAAGAAAAAGAGAGAGAGGGGGGAAAAATAAGAAAGAGAGAGAAGAGAGATAAGAATGAAACTTATAAATGAATGTATAGTTATTTTCACATCTACATCTTGCCGTTCGATAATACTTTAATTTATTTTTCCAATAAAATTTTTCCGTAAGTTGAATGCTTACGAGGAAAACATTGAAACGTTCATACATCACGGAGAATTTTTTTTTCTTACTTACAAACGCCATTATATTTATAGTACAATGCTCCGTCTCTCTCTTTCTTCTCTCTCTCTCTTTCTCTCTCTTTCTCTCTCTTTCTCTCTCTCTCTCTCTTTCTCTCTCTCTCTCTCTCTCTCTCTCTCTCTCTCTCTCTCTCTCATTTCTTTCTCTATGTATGTATAATAAGATTTCAAAAAATCCTATTCTATTTTAACTGGAACGTTTTATGTATATACCTCTTTTAGGATCGTAAACAAAATTAAATAAACAGATATAAGCATGAATAAAGAACAAACCAGACTATGTTAAATAAAATCTTACACAATACATACAAACAAACATACAAACATACACACATGCATACAGCATATATACGTACATAAATACATACAAACAAACATACACACATACAAACAAACAAATACACACATAGAGGCACACACATATACACACATGCATTAAAAACAAACACACACACACACACACACACGTACATACATATAAAATATAAACAACAAAATATTGCATCCGTTTTTATTTTCTTTCTCGGTGTAAATCAATGAATATGTCGGTAACACAAACCATAGATCAAACAAAATTTGAACCATTAAAAAAAATTACCAGACAGCAAAAAATAAACAAAGAAAAATAAATAAAGATGGCCGATGTTGGCCGGTGCGTTGTGATTGGTTGACGATACGTGAAGAAATGAACCGACAAATTATTTCCTGTTGTTGTTGTCGTTGTTGTTGATGATGATGATATTGTAGTTTTTGATGATGATGATGATGATGACGATGATGAGATTATGATGATGATGTTGATGACGACGACGATGATGATGTTGTTGTTTTTTATGATGATGATGACGATGATGTTTGTCATTTTGGCCATTAGATACACCCTTGCATTGCCTAATGAGGATAAAAAATACATCGGAAGATTGATGTCAGGCGGTTAATTGATATTTTTGACTGTTAATTTTTTTTCTTCCTTTATTAGCCAAAAGTCTGCTGGAAATAAAATTTTATTTAGCCTCGCTAGTTTCCGTCCATCCATTTTTTTGTCCTTTCATTCATTTTTCCATCCATACATCAATCTTTTTGTTCTCTCTTTCTCATTCACTCTTTCATTCATTCATTTGTTTTTTTCTACTTTCTTTCATTTTCTTCTCATTTCCGCTTCATAATGTTACGAAGGATTATCGCCATCTTTATTGCCTTAATCGTTATTATTATTATTGTTACTATTATTATTAATATTTTTTTGGAATGTTGTTTTCGTGATGAGAAAGTAAGAAAAAAAGAGGGAAAAGAGAAAAAAGAAAGAGAGAAAAAAGAAAGGAAGAAAGAAGTAAAAGAAAAATTTAGAGTAGTATATCATGTGTCAAACTTATTTTTCTTCTCCTTCCAAATTTTTTTTATGTACCTCATCATCATAATTCTTTCAACATTTTTGAATTTTATCATCTACATCATGATATAACAAAACACAGGCTGATCAGATAATACACAGGCTTAGAAAGGTAACATTGTATGTAATGGTATATGTTTTAAAAATTAAGCGCTTTACAATGGAATATGCGTAAAATAAAGTTCGGTGTTTAGTTTAATCGTGAAATGTTTACTTTTAGTACCTTTATTCATCGAAGTTTATCGGGAGTATAAAAATATAAGATAAATTAATTTAAAAAATTTGAAATAAATTAATTAAAAGAATTTTAATTTATTCAAGAAACGTTCATTTTTTTCACGATTCATTTCAACTCTTCAAAGTTAACAATTTCGAACTTCTAAAAAAGAAGCTATGAAAAGAGGTACACACTTTTTTTTTTATTGTTTTTTAGTAATTTTAGTTTTTACGGTTTTTTAGTCAAAGTTAAATTGGGTCATAATTTTTATTTAGCTAATTATTAATAATCATTTAATAATAAATATGTTCTGTGTTCGTGTTGCTATGAATTTTTCATGTCATATCCATCAAGGGCCAAGGCTAATTTATTTTGTAGCAAATCTCTGGCCTCCTAATTAGTAATTAGGGATTCATTGTAAATTTCCTATGCTAATTAAATTTATTTAAAATTAGATTGCACAAATGTATTTTTTACAGATAGTACTGGGACTGCCATAATTGATGTCAAGAAAGATGTGCCAAATAGTCGTAAGTAAAGTAAATTTACTATAAATAAAGTATAACTTCAATCATATGATTAAAAAAAATAACTTTTTGTAAGTGTTAGTACTGGTTACAGCTACAAAAGTATATCAGATGTTACTTACATAGTTTTTATATGATATCAATTACTACTTAACTACTGGGAATTACTAAATAAATATTAATATTATTATATCAATAATTATATTATATTGTTTTATATTATATTTAATGTTATATTATTATATTAAAAATGATATTATTAACAAATTTTTTCAAATGAAGATAACACGCTGTATAGTCTGTCACCAAGCGTACAGATTCTAAGTGAAAACCTCACATCAGTTAATGTTTTATTACTTTTTTTAGGATTTTAAAAATTTTTTAAAAATTTTTAATCTTAAGTAATTTAATTTATTTTGTAAAATTGGTGAATTAATCAATAAAAAAATTATATTCCTGAATCTTCATCTCAATTTAATAACATGAATTTATTTTGTAAAAGAAGTAGTAGAATGAAAAGATTTTTAAAGATTTACCTAATTTTCCTAATTAAGGTATCCGGATACCAGGTGGTTGAGGTGCAGAACGGCGATGAGATCCAAGATTTGGGGACGGCCGATGGTCTAGCCTACATACCGATAACTACGCATGACATTAAAAATGAAAATAATATCAATGAAAATTCAGATGACAATGGTAATATAACTTTTTATGCTCTTCCGAATCAATAATTCATAATTCTTGTCTTTCATAATTTTTAATCTTTAACTTAATGATTTCATAGTAACTTACATTAATTTTCCAAAAAAAAAATCCAGGGCCTTTATACTTTCTGCTACCAAATGGAACAGCAGTCCTCAATAGCAACATTTTGTCCCCAGTAGCAACGACAGCAGCTGCACCACCTACAGTTAGCCTACAACCACAAACGCCACCACAACAAAGGGCAACAACATCGCTGTTAGCCACAAATAATATTGCATCAACGTCATCATCGTCCAGTACGAGAGTCATCAAATTTATCAGGCCATCCATCGAACAGCAGCCTGAGCGGGTGCCAATCATGATTGTTCCTAAAGATTCCAAAAGAAAAGCTACTCATAATGAGGGTAGGTAAATGAGTTGACTGACATCTAGTGTCTGGGGATGAATTTTTCAAATTATTAGAGAGTAATTTGTATGTAAATATCTACCATGTTTTTGTGTATAATTGTTTTTATTTGTTAATGGTATTTGTTGTATTGATATTTTGATATGGTGCAGTTGTACTTTTGTAGGAAGTATTTTTATGGTTTTACTCTCTGGCTAATTCAAATTTCATTTTCTATGCTTTCAAACAGTTGAGAGGCGTCGAAGAGACAAGATAACAACGTGGATTGTGCAGCTGGGTAGCATGCTACCCGCTTCACTTAGCGAAAAACAAAATGACGTTAGTTGAGTTATATCCAAGTATTTCCAAGAAATTCCAACAGCAGATGAACTAGCGGCACCAAACAACAGGCATACATATACAAACATACACACACATACATACATACATACATACATACAACTCTAATTGTTGTTGTTGTTATTGGCAGAGCAAAGGTGATATATTATCAAAGGTCTGTGAGTTTATACAGGAGTTGCAAGCAAAGAATCAACAATTGAAGGAATCTATGGAGCATCTGATCTTCATTAAGCAGGTTATTATATTGTTGTTGTTGTTGTTGTTGTTGTTGTTATTGTTGTTATTGTTGTTGTTGCCATACAGGCATACATATACAAACACACACACACATACTTACATACATAAAAGAAATACCTACAATGTAAATAAACTAATAAAGCTTTCCAAAAAACACTAAATAATCGCAGGCCTTGGAAGAAACGTCACACGCGTACGCAGAAGCACTGATGGAAAACAGCTCCATCAAGTCCAAATTCAGCGAACTGGGATTCAGCTGCGAGGTTCGAGTAGTCAATGAAAATATGTTGATCTGTCCTGAAGATGGCGATAATGACGTCATCAGCGCTGACAATAATAACAACAATGATGACACCAACTACCACAACCACAACGTTAATGACAGCAACTACAGCAGCCACAATGACATCAACTACAACGACCACAACAATGTTGAGGTTGATGATGTTAATGAAACTGCAAATGACAGTAACAATAATTACATTAATGTATTAGTTCAGACGGCAAATAATGTTGAAAATGCTATGTAAATATTCCTGTGTGTGTGTGTGTGTGTGTGTGTGTGTGTGTGTGTGTGTTCGTGTATATATGTATTCATGTGCGTGTTTGTGTATATATACAACTTGTTATTTTGTACAATGAAACTTGACAATTGTGAAATTTTAAACAATATCTTATGCCTAATGACCTTAAATTAAGATATATATATATATATATATATGTATATATATATAGTTCACAACATGTATAAAATATAGATACATATATATTGCATTGTATATATTGTATGATATATATATATATATACATTTTGAATATGTATATATAATGGTCTCTTTATAAAATTTTCAAATGTCGTTTTGGTTAATTGACATTTAGTTTCAAACTGGTTTTATTTCCTATTTCTTTTCAAAATGTGCCTGAAATTTTTACAATTGATTATAATTAATTAATTGATTGATTTGATTAATTGGTTATTTATGATTTAATCTTCAATTTATTTAGTAATTGAATTTTTTTCTTCTGCAAAAGAATAGCAGTATAGAATAACTCCATGGCCAGTCCTTTCTTTTCATAAAAACTCCCCTAAATATACGTATGAGCTAAAATAGAAAATTTTGTAGAATTTCCGTAAATAAAATTGACAGAATTTACAGAATTTCCGTAAATAAAATTGAGTTCTACGTGAATTTAGTTAAAAACTAACAATTTAATTCAATCATTCAATCAATTAGTTTATAAAGCGCTAATTCCCTATATCAGTGCTATACATGGAATTATATATTCAATGGTGCTATATTCCAAAAAATATCTAACTATAATGTGTGCTAATACATATTAATAAACAACTGGTCAATTTTTTTCACTATTGCTTTCTTTTTTGATACATTTTTTTTACTAAAAACTGAGTTCTACTGACTTATAATAAACAACCGCTCACAACGGAAAGCCACAATTAAAAATAAGAGAAAATTGATGCAATGACATCATCCTAATAAATAGAAATGAAACAAACAAATTTAAGTGTGCTCGTTGATCTTTAATGAGATATATATTTGAGATATATGCGAAGGTGGATGTATAAAATAAAACGAAGCGCTATATCTTTTATTGTGTCTTTTTCTTCGTTATCGTTGCTAGCTTCCATAAAACTTTTTCTTTTAAGATTGTGTTTCCGTCGTTCGTCGCTAAGAATTGATTTATATAAATAGTTTAAAACGTATTTTATTTGCCGAAGTTGGTGTTGGATTTCCAAATTTTTAATTCATTTATATTTTTATTGTTCGTATAAATCTGAAAAAAATGCCTCGAAATCGATCGATGGTGTCTTCATTGTTCATCCGAAACGTGCCCGCCGACGCTAGGTTCGTTCAGTTTCAGTTCATTTTACTTGGCGTTTTGTTCTGTTCTATTCGTAACTTAAATATTATTTACTATTTAGATCGCACATGTTTTCTTTAAATTAAACATTTATGAATATTGAATATTAATAAATTATGATCAACCAATGGCTGAAATAATTTCCACTAAAATGTAAAAAAGATAGGCAGAAAAATTAATTGACTTGATGCTGATTGCATGATTTGATGTTGGCTTCAATGAATTGATTATTGAAATTAATGAAGAACTTGTTCAGTAGTTTTGTCATTTTTTTTTGTTATACTTTACTACTTATTAAGCAACTAATTACTTTTGGCGACTTCCCATAACAAATGTTTACTAGTCCATTTGATTAAATCTCAATTTTTATTTAAATTTTACAGGTCAGATGAATTGAGGGAAATATTCAGCAAGTATGGACCAGTTACAGATGTCTACATCCCTCTTGATTATTATACCAGACAGCATCGAGGCTTTGCCTATGTACAATATCCTTTATTACGTTCATTCGTAAGTTTTCGTTCATCAAATTTATGCTTTTGTTGTACCTAAATAGCTAAAATTATTTTTAGGCTAATGCTAATTCAATTAAAATTATTCAAGTAACATTTTTATAGCTCAGTTTTTTATATAAAATAAAATTATATTAAAATTTTCATAAAATAAACTTTATTTCTGTTTAAAAAGCAGAACAATAAAGTAAAGTAAAGACTGATCTGATGACAAAAAAAGACAAAATGTCAGCAGTCACTCTCACTACTAATGCAAAGCTTAAAGTAAAGATAAAGATTTATAAAGCTTCTTAAGTGCGCTACTTGTTGGTCATTCATTAAAGCAAATGGTCACTCGTTAAAGCAAAGTAAAGCAAGCAAATTAAACTAAAGCCCCAAAGAATAATTATATGTATTTTTTCTATATTATAAAATATTTATCCTAACAATATCCTTAATGGTTATTCATCATTCAAAAAAATTGTTTACACTTATTATGAATTGCTAGTGATGATGTTAATGATAAAGTAAATAGTGGATCAGGATATTTTGTGGGCTAGTTTCCTTAACCTGGCACACGTTCGAAGATTACAGGGATGCAGATGATGCTCTGTACTACCTAAAGGGCTTCAAATACTGCGGTGTCGAGTTGGAAATTGAATTTGCAAGGAGTGACAGAAAAAGTAAATTATCTTTTTTTTAATCCAATTATAAAAATTATGTGAGCATTTAGGTATAATTTTCTATTGTTACTTGTTCGTTCTTGTCAATTGTTATAATTAATTGTGGGGTTTTTAATTTCAGCACCACACATGATGAGAATGCGAGAAAAAGGTAGTGGGGGTGGAAGAAACGACGACTACGATGATTACGATAGAAGGAGAAGAGGGGGTGCCAGGAGGTCGTTCAGCAGGTCGCCAAGAAGAGATAGGTAGGCCATGACTGTTCTATTTATTATATATTAAAATATTTTAATAAATTTCTAGTTGGTTCAATTAATTTTAATATTGAATAATTATTTGATTAGTAATAATCTTACTTCTATATGCTTTTTTATTCGTGTTTAAATTTTTTGCTTTCTCAGAAGGTCATATTCGAGGTCAAGGAGTCCATCTTATGACAGGAAGAAAAGGTCAAGAAGGTGATTTATTCCCGTTTTTCTGTTTTTTATTAAATGTTGTTATTTTTTGTTTTTTTTTTTTTAAGATTTAATGGTTTATTTTCACGTTTTTTGGAAGAATAATTTTGAAATGTAAATTTTTAGGCACAGATCAAAAGAATCGTCAACCTCAAGCCATGGTGGTGCTAAAGTTTAACATAGTGCTATCTGGAGTCAAAATCATTGACAATCGACTTTTCATTTTGTCTTTTTAATTAGTTTTTTGATATAAATTGACAGTGTTTGGTTCCCAAACGGAGCATGTTTTGTTTTACTGACTTCATTCATCCAGTTGATTTTATGGTTATTGTGTTTCATTGATTGTAGGTTTTTTAATAAAGGCCTATACAAATACATTTTGCTTGTTAAGATGGGTGGCTTACTAAATTCAGTTAATGAATTGGCCGTATTTAGATTTTTTCTTTCCTAGGAGCGATGCTTGTAAAATCGATATAGAATATATTTTTTTGTATATACTCTATTAAAAATAATTTCTCTGTAACGCATACGTATAACTTAAAAACCGACTAAAACGAATGAATCTTAAAAGAGCTCTACATAATATATAATGTATTCTCTGTATAAAATATAGAATATAAATTTTTATATATACTCTATTTTTTAAAAATAACATTCCTCTGCAACATACATAAAACTTAAGAACCAATGGGAGGCCTATTTACCATTAAACAACACTTTCTTATGGGTTGGAGCAGGGATATGCAAAGAATCTCAATTTTTGCAACTTTTAATTATTTTCGGTAATGTCGATTTTATTTGTTTAAATTTATACCAAATAAAAGTAATTAATTACCATATTGAATAACAATTTAAAAAAATAAAATTTGAACATTTTAAATAAAAGCAATATTCCGTAATTAGTAAATATACTATCGTAACTTGTCTCAAACGATAAAAAATCACCCTCCATCTCCCCTCCAGAAGCTCCTTGTTCAACCGTTGAAAGTGAGCAAAGGCCGTTACATTTATTCTAGCTATATGTATCAAACAGCATCTTATTGAACAAAGTAGTATCATAAAATGAATAAGGATACATTTTTCAAAAATTTAAAAAATTCTCAATTTGATTTAATTGCTTTAACGATGATGATGATTGTGGCCTTACAAATTAAAAAACATCAAATAATAATTATTAAATAGGATGGGTAATTCGTTGCGAAATCGTTGGAGGAAATGACGTCATGTTAACACTAGTAGTTATTTTACTGCATGGTAGTTAATCAGCCATATAAAAGTTGTGTTCAATTCCTATCAAATGAATTTGACCAAATATTATACAAATATATAATATTATTATAGGCATAACTAAATAAAGAAATATATATATATATATATATATATATATATATATATTTATAATACATTTATAATGTTGTATTTACACATTCAAATATTAATTGTGTTATGGTGTAGTCTCAAATTATTTTGAATTCTCTCAAGACTCATGAGTCTTGAGTTAAGTTAATGAAACATAGGTAGGTGAGATTAAAAATTGATTTATTATATAGGTAGGCTAGGGCATAAAGTAATTTAGTTATATAGGTAGGTTAGGGACTTCTATTCTTTTACTCTACTTTGTGGTGTGTTTTTCGTTTTGTGTTTTTGTTTTGTTTTGTTTCACACCATACATTCAGCAGGTAAGCGGTGGTTCCTGGTTTTAGTGGGATTTTTATTGATTGAATGTGGTAGTATGCATGGTTATATAGAGTTATATAGAGTTATATAGAGTTATATAGAGTTATATAGAGTTATATAGAGTTATATAGAGTTATATAGAGTTATATAGAGTTATATAGAGTTATATAGAGTTATATAGAGTTATATAGTTATATAGAGTTATATAGAGTTATATAGAGTTATATAGAGGTTCTTTTCTTTGCCGACCGGTCGGCTTCTTTGCGTTTCTCTATTTTCATTTAAATTAATTAAATAAATAAGATTTGTCCATTCATTTATGTTCTTTCAGGTTCATTCATTCAGGTTGAAGCTTCCGGAGGAGTTCATCGTGGAAGATCAGAATGGTTGTGATGTCACGCTACGTTCGTTCATTCAGTGTTAAAGAATGCACGCCTGATTGGGGTTCGTTTAACGGTTTCTTTGCGGTTTCTCTTTTTGCCAATTGGCTGGCTTTTTCGGCTGGCGGGTTTCACCGCGGCTCGTTTCTCTATTTTCATTTAAATTAATTAAATAAATAAGATTTTATTCATTTCACTCAGGTTGAAGCTTCCAGAGGAGTTCATCATGGAAGATGTCAGGCTACGTTCATTCATTCAGAGGCAAAGAATACACGCCTGGCTTATTCTTTTTTCTCTGTAATTTAAAAATAAGTAAGAATGCTTACACGCGCACATACACACACAATTACATTAAGTAGCTATATAGGTAGGTTAGATAGGCATAATTTTAATTGTAGGTAGGATAGATAGGAAGCATCCAACACTAATGTAGTTGAATAGGTAGGCGCGTAAGTTTATCGCTTCTATTTTTTCTTGCATCTACATTACACGCATTAGCGTATTACACACACACACACACACACACACAAACACATACATAAACACATATATTAGTATTTGAGCGTAATTTTATTTTCAATACACATTCTAATTTATTATTACTAAGGTTGAGAGTAATTTAATTTCATAGGTAGTTAAGGGCAATAATGTAATTCTAGGAACAATCTTGTAATGTAAATTAAAACGCTGTATGTGTATCGATAGGTAGGTTAATTATAAGTTTTATATTATTATTATTATGTCGGAACCCAAGGCATTACGTAGGTGGTGGGGTGGGTGCCGAAAGGCCAATGAATTGGGCTCTTGAGTTTTGTAATTTTAGGTAAGTTAAGGCCATAATGTAATGAATAGGTAAGTTAAGGCTACGTTGTAACACATACTCATTAATAGATTTAGGGTTTAAGTTTTATATTGTTATTACTAAGTTGGAGCCCAAGGCATTACGTAGGTGGTGGGGTGGGTGCCGAAAGGCCAATGAATTGGGCTCTTGAGTTTTGTAATTTTAGGTAAGCTAGGGCTTAATTGTAATGAATAGGTAAGTTGAGGGTACGATAGCCGATAGACTCTGAATTTCAAAGTCCGTTGTCAGAGGTAAGCCTTGGTGGCCAGTGGTGAACCGACAATGGTTTACTATCCGGACGGCAATGGTTTACTATCTGCACGGTAATGATTTACTATGCGGCATGGATTTACTACCCGCACGGCTTCCGGACGGCAAATGGTTTACTATCCGCACAGCAATAGTCTACTATCCGCACGGCAATGGTTTACTATCCGGTGCCCTGGCTGTCGGTGAACATCTGTGCAAAGGAGGGAGAATGAAGGGGGACTTTCGACTATCGTACCATTAACAATTTAATATAGATTAGTTAAGGTAATTGAATAGGTAGATAGGATTATTTTTATTAAGCAATTTGAGATGCAGGCACCGCTAAGTTTTCTTTTTCTCCATTCCACGAGCTGTGTTTCAGCAACAATCTCGAGGAGGACTGGCACCAGTTTTGGAGGACAGCGTAGGAACCGGTAAGCATTCAACATTCTGCTTTTGTCGAGTGGACGACGGTAAGTTTTTTTTTTACATTTTAATCTCTTTATTATTTTCAGTTATTATTTATTTGCCATTATTTCCATTTTATAATTTTTTGCTTCTAAGATTCTAACATTCATTTACTACTACGCTAATAAAAAAATTGTCTACAGAATGATGAGAGGTGGGCAGTGGTGGGAGTCAGCACGTTTCAGATGGTGGTCTCATGATGATTTACGTATGATGATGTGGTGTAGGAAGAATCAGCGCGTTGGCTGTTCGACTGACACTCAGAAGTTCGGATGAAATCTTGTGTGCCGATCTGAATGTGGTGGTCGGTGCGGTCGGTGTAATGGATTGAAGTAACGACGATTTTTGAAGTAAGGTTTAGTTTCGTTTTTTTTATTTTTCTCATTCATTCATTTTTCCCCTCAATCTTTCAAATTATTCTTCCATTAATTGACGTTAATTCGTTCTATTCGTTCATTCATTCATTCTTTTAACTAATTATTTAATCATTCAGTTCATCATTTATTCGTTCGTTCCTTTGTTCCTTGATTTACTACTAAGCTCATAAAAATATCTTTTTACAGAAAGATGAGAGGTGGGCTGTGGTGGGCGTCAGCATGTTTCAGATGGTGGTCTCATGATGATCGTTCCGATGACAATTTGAAGATAATATTAAAAGAATATTTGTTCTTGTCCCATTGTTCTTGTCCCATCGTACCATTGAAAGTCATCTCAATAAGATAAGTTGCCTTTTTTCCAATGGCTTGTTTTTTACTTTAAAGAATATTATTTTTCAATTTAGTGTTTTTCAGTATCCGGTCAAATTCATTCCATCGATGCGTGTCGGATGATGGTCGGTGCAATGGAGGTTCGTCCGTAGTGAGTGAAGAAGTTTTTGGAGAGTACACGCCCGCACATTTACACACACACACATCAATAAAACACACACATACACAACATCCATTCATTCGGTGTCGTTGTTGTTATGTTTTTCTTCAACTTTCTATTTTCTTTACCTGACTTAATTTAATTCGTAGGTAAGTTAGGGATTGAGATGAGTTGAACAATCGTAGGTAGGCTAGGGATTAACATTAGTTAAAAAGTTTCAAGTAAAATAAAAACGCTGAAATATGTAAAATAAAATACCTAAAACATGTAAAATTCCAAAAACGTGGAAAAACATATTTGTAGGTAGGTAGGTGAGTTGAGTTAATGATTATAAGTAAGCTAGGGCCCTGAGAGTAATTTAATTGTAGGTAGGTGACTGACTACTATTCTTGCGACTTTTTACTAGTTTTTTGTGATGTGTTTGTTTTCGCTTCACAGCCCCACACCAACAAAAACTACATTTTATTCTCGTCGTCGCCTTAAATTTTACCTTTTTGAACAATCTTTTTAATAATGTCTAATTTATTTAATTATTTATTAAATGTTGACTGGTTTCTAGTTTTTTTTTAATTTGGTTATATAATTTTTGGATATTTCTTGATTTAATAAAAGCAACTATTGTGTTTTTCTTTCTTTACTAAAATCTCGAAATTGTTTGTAGATCTGTACAGTTAAGTGTTTGTTCGAGTTTGAACAAGCCTTGCAAATATTTTTCAAATATGGTTCATTGATTGGTCGATTGGTTGGTTGATTAGTTGATTGAATGAATGTTTGGTGGGTTGATTGATTGGTTGATTGATTGATTGATCTCATAGTATTGTATATATGAAAAAAAAATCCGATTAAGCCAACATACGGCTTTACTTGGCCACTGTATTTTACCAGACAAAAGCAATTTCTTTATTTATATTGACAAAAATAATTGTGAAATGAATATATTGACTTATTTAAAGTATTATATGTAAAGAAAACCGCCATGACACTGTTGTATGAGACCCAGTAAGCCACTGCAGTAAGCCAACGTATGATTTCAGCAACCATAATTTTATGAGCACCAGCAGAATGTAAAATATTCATTGAATACAATGAAGATAGTTGTTCAAATAACAATTTTGATCTATTTAGGCCGTTTATTTCATGAGCAAACAAATTTTTAACATGATCGAATAGTGTAAAATAGGGTGACTTTAGTTCAATCCTTCTAAACCAACCTTCCGCTTCAGTAAAAAGCCACCGGATTTCACAGGACCAAAAGTATAATTTTTATATTCAAATTAACAACAATAAATTAATAATACATAATTTTATTTAATAAAATCATAATTTTATTTGATAAAATTAAAGAGAATTACTACAATGTTTTAAGCATATTAAGTCAAGTAAATATTTCATATAGCTTGCTCGTTAAAATCCATGCATGGTTTCAGACCTGCTCACAGTACTGAAACTTCTTTACTCAAAATACACAATGATATCCTTCTCTCTAGTGACAATAGTAATCTTTCTCTTCTTCCTGCTCTTGACTTTTCCTCGGCTTTTGATACTGTTGATCATACTATTCTCTTGAGACTGCTGCATCATTCTTTTAATATTACTGCTTCTTGTCTATCTTGGTTTTCTTCTTATCTCTGTAATCGTTTTTCTTCTGTTGTCCTCAATAATTCTACTTCTAACTTCTCTACTCTTACTTTCGGAGTACCTCAGGGTTCTATCCTTGGCCCTCTTCTATTTATACTCTATACTTCTGAACTACCTCGTATTATTAACTTTTCTTTCTCTAGTCAACTATATGCTGATGATTCTTACATTTAAACTTCTTTTCCAGCCTCAATAGTGTTCTTCATAATTTATCTCTATGTTTTTCTTCAATTATTGCTTGGTCTGACTCTATGTGTCTTAAACTCAATCCTTCTAAGTTCGAATTAGTTTGTTTTAATAAATCTAAACACTCTATTACTATTCCTCCTATTATCTTACCTGATTCTAAAACTCTTGATGTCTCTCATAAGTTTCGTAGTCTAGGTTTTATCTTTGATTCTACTATGTCTCTCTCTTCTCAGATTAATAGTGTTGCTAGAAGCTCTTACTTTCATCTACGTAGAATAAAAAAACTTTTGCCTTTTCTTGATGATCCTACTCTTCTCCTTCTTGTTACTTCGTTAGTCTTATCTAGGATTGATTATTGTAACTCGCTCTACTATGGTCTTCCTAACTCTATACTCTATCCTTTAAGTAAAGCTTTTAACTCTGCTGCTCGTCTAGTTGCTCGTGCCCCTTTCTTTTCTCATATATCTCCATATCTTGTTCTCTTGCACTGGCTACCTATAAAATATAGAATACTTTTTAAAATTTGCAAGTTCATGTATAAGTCTCAATCTAATTTATTTCCTAAGTATTTATCAGATATATTAATTTAACCTAAACGCTCCGGTTTACGATCGTCTTCTTCTTCTCGCTTTTTCTTAACTCGTGTTAAACACTATTTTGCCAAATCTGCTTTTGCTTTTTCTGGTCCTTTTCTCTGGAACTCTCTACCTACTTCTCTGACTACTTCTCCATCACCTGCGAAGTTCAGAGCGGATCTCAAGACCCATCTGTTTTCAAAATTCATTGAGGAGCGCTGTTGAACATCGCGGAAATAGCGCTTTATAAGCTAATTGATTGACTGACTGACTGACTGACTGACTGACTGACTGACTGACTGACTGACTGACTGACTGACTGACTGACTGACTGACTGACTGACTGACTGACTGACTGACTGACTTGAAGTAAGCTTCCGGAAGTAAGCTCCTTGTTCGACCGTTAAAAGTGAGCGAAGGCCGTTATATTTATTTTAGTTATGTGTTAAGAACCGACTAAAACGTATTATTCTTAAAAGTGCTTCTCTACATAATTGAACAGGTTTACTTTTAGTTTTTTAGATTTAATTCGGTATCGCATAACTATAATCTACATTTAAAAAATTGATTTAATTTCTCGATATAAAAACAATGGTCGTCGAAACTAATCAAATTGTACGGAGGAATCGTCCTGGCACCAAAGCAAATGTCTGTATTTTAAATAAATGCTAATTTTTGTTCTGGTTCTATTCATTTCCTTTCACAAAGACACAAACTAATATTAAAATTCAATTCAGTATTACATTGATTACTGTTATTATTATGTTGATTAGTTTAGCTATTACCAATTAGTAATTATTATTAATTAAATTAGTGAAATTAGTGCCTTTTCGTTTACAAGTATTTATTATTACATTAGAAAATTGATTGATTGGTTGACTATTACATTTTTAGTATTCAGTGATTGCATTTTTTAATTTTTTAGTAGTGTTTATCTCTAGCAAAAATATGTAAAATAAAGAGTTTAATTAATTTAATTTTAGTGACAAATATTCATTGTGATTGGTTATGTATTTCATTCATATTATGATGAATTTAAAAAAACTATATAATTATAAAAAACTAACTATATAATTAGATGATTTGATAAGGAATTCATAATGTGTATAATTGAAATTAATTAATTTAATAATAATTAGGATTGGTGCAAATGGCCAGACGAGTCATTTGAAGAGATGGAAAGTACTCTGGCAGTTCAGCAGGTCAGGAGCTAATTAATTATATTTCTTTTAAATTAATATAAAAATTTTAATCAATTTAATCTTAATAAAATTAATTTTAATGGAATTTATTTTAAATATATATAATATTTAACCATAATTATATTATAGTTAATAATAATATAAAAATATTTGTTAATTTATCTAATTAATTTACCATTTGTATTTATTTTATTTTATTTTAGTTTATTCAGCAAGCAATAAAAAGAGATTTCAATAACGTAGAGGAAATCTTAACTGCCCCGGAGGGCCAGGACGAGGGCGTCTGGAAATATGAACACCTAAGGTCCATTTTTAATTTTATTTATTTATTTATTTACATATGTTTATTTATTTATTTATTTATTCATGAATTTGTTTATTTATTTATTTATTATTCTTATCACTATTGTTTTTTATTGTTGATTTATTATAGGCAGTTCTGTATGGAGTTGAATGGATTAGCCGTTAAACTTCAGGTCAGTTGATTGGATGATATGCTGGCTGGTTAGTTGGCTGGTTGATTAATTGGTTGGCTGGTTGGTTGGTTGTTTGGTTGGTTGATTGATTGATTAAAGGATGGATTGGATCTTCCAGCTTGAATGCAATCCTGAGACCTGCACTCAGATGACTGCCACAGAACAATGGATATTTTTATGTGCTGCTCACAAGAATCCCAAAGAGGTATTGATGATGATGACGACGATGGTAATGATGACGGTTATGACGGTAATAGTGATGGCAATGGTTGTGAAGATGGTAAAGATAATGATGACGATGGTATTGATGATGATAATGATCGTGATGATGATGGTGGTGGTGGTGGTGGTGATAGTAGTGGTTGTGACTATGGTAATGATATTAATGGTGATAATGATAATAACTTGACAGTGTTCGGCCATTGATTACACTCGTCATACATTGGACGGGGCAGCCTGCCTACTCAACAGCAACAAATATTTCCCCAGCAGGTTTCACTTATCATCTTCATCATCCTCTTCTTCGTCTTCATCATCTTCATCATCCTCTTCTTCGTCTTCATCATCTTCATCATCCTCTTCCTCGTCTTCATCATCTTCATCATCCTCTTCTTCGTCTTCATCATCACCGTCATCTTCTTTTTCATCTTCTTCATCCCTATTTATCGCACAACCAGCATCATGTTACCTTGCTGTTTCCAAAGTATTTTTGGAAAAAATTATTTTATTATTGTTATTATTATTATCCTCATCGTCATCATCAACAACATCATCATCATCAGGGTGAGTATAAAGGAAGCGTCTGTCAGTAAACTGGGTTCAGTTAGCAGGCGAGTTTACAGGATTTTTTCGCATGCCTACTTCCATCACCGTACTCTCTTCAATGAATATGAGGTTTGATGATTGCCTGCCTGGCTGGTTGCATGGCTGGTTGATTGGTTGGTTAAATGGTTGGCTGGTTAGTTGCAACAACCAACCAACCTACTAACCGACCAACCAATCATCCAACCAACCATTCAATCAATCCTCCAACTGACCATCCTTCCAATCAATCAATCAATCTTCCTTCCAACCAACCTTCCATCCAACCTCTCAACAGAACGAGACAGCGCTGTGCAAAAGATTCACAACTTTCGTTATAAAGTACAACCTAATGGCCAAGGATTATCTCATAGTACCTATCCTGGAGGAACAGTTCAGTGGGAATGGGAGTGCGAGTGTTGGTGCGAGTGGTGGGGGCGATGAAAACGGAAGTTTCGTAGCCTACCAGCCAGGTGGCGCTGCTGCTGCTGGTAGTGTGGCTGGCGATGACGGTAGCATTGTTGATGAAACTATGATTGGTAATGCTTGATTGGGGTCAGTTGTTTGATTGTCTGGTTGGTTGGTTTAATAACCAGTTAAATTAATGGGTTAGGTTGATTAGTTGATTGATTGGATATATGACTGACTGGTATATCTTTTTTTATAAACATTGTCTGTAAGCATGAATATCTTTACTTATTTTCTTCATTTATTTATTCATTCATTCATTTTAACATTCATTCATTCATTCGTTCGTTCATTCAGTAAATGAACATTTTGTATGAATATTTTATTCAGTAATAAAAATGCTACCAAACAATTTTTTAGTTTGTTGTTTTGTCGTCTTGGTGAGTGTGTGAGAGGGGTTGTGTGTGCGTGCGTTGGTGTGTGTGTGTGTTATAATAGTTTACCAAATAGATGAGTTGGTTATATATATGACGCAGAGTACAGCAAAGAGACATCCAAGGCCTTTAGAAATCACAAAAATGTTTGACAAACATACATAAGCCCTAAGTTACACATACAGCATAATACATATGTATCATATACAAAACTGTGCGTACGCGTTAGCATACAATAATGTACACACGCGAGTGCATACAAAAGTATACAATAGTAAACGCGTATAAACATACATTTCGTTGTTATTATTCGCGTTATCATCGTCATAATTATCATCATTAAACCCGTCTTCATCATCGTCAACATCATTAAATATCATCATCATTCAATGAGTTTATGTTAATTTTCGAACTGCACGGAAGACTCGCGTACTCTGGTGATGGTGATGACGGCGATGATGATGATTTATGGTTATTAGTATTGTTTTCTGTTGTTATTATTATTATTGTTATTTTAATCGTTATTTTAATCATTTAATTATTTTAATCATTAAAATTATCATTATAAATAATGAGGAGAGTACATTAATAACATTAAGTTGTTGTAGTTTTACATGCGTTTTCATATCATTTAAAGGAATAGAGCTCTTGATGATGATGAAAATGATGACGATGATCATTGTCTCTGTTGCTGTTGTTGTTGGATTTGTTAATAGTGATGATGTTGGTGTTGTTGTTTTTGTTGATAATGATGATGTATTTGTTGGTTTTATTGGTAATGATGATGTTGTTGTTGCTAGTTTTGTTGGTAAAGATGACGTTGTGTCTGATGTTGTTGTTGATGTTGATAGTGATGATGTTGTGTTTGTTGTTGTTGTTGTTGACGATGACGATGACGACGACGATGATGATGATAATGGATATTATTAAATACTACACTTAAGTTTGTTTGCTCAAGCGCTCAAATGAACTGTTAGTAGTTATATTTTTTTCATTCACTCACTCATTCATTCATTCGTTCGTTTGTTCATTCATTTATTCGTTCGTTCAATCAATCATTCATTCATTCATTTATTCATTCATTCGTTTTTTCGTTAATTCATTCATTCACACACGTTTTATCTCTTCATTTGTTGTTTAATCACAACTCTGTCCCCGTCAACCGATCGCTCTTTCAATCATTAATTATTCATTCAATTTTCTTTCGTTCATTCAATTTTTCATTCATTTTTTTTCTCACATTCATTCACATTTGATCCTCGAGCGGCAGTAGTAGATGTAGCCATTTTGTATGATGACGTCAGAGCGACTTGTGACGTCAATCATCTTTTTTTTTACTTTTTTCCAATTTAGGAGTACTAATACATTGGGCATTTATGTTTAATGGTTATTATTATTATTATTATTATTGTTATTATTATTGTTGTTGTTGTTATTGTTGTTGTTATTATTATTATTTGTCATTATTATTTACATTTTATGATTTCTTGTCATAAATTACGGAATGACGTAATTTAACGTAACGTAACGTAACGTAACATAGATATAGTGAACATAGATATACATAACAACATTCTCACCAACCAACGTCATCATCACGTCAGCATCACCAAGCCACAACATCATCATCAAAACATCATCATCAGAACATCATCATCATCATCGTCGTCACAATAACATCAACATCATCACCATCACAACATTATCATCATCACCACCATCACAACATTATCATCATCATCACCATCACAACAACATCATCATCATCATAATCACCAACGGCTACAAAATCAAGCGGACAAACAACGACAGCATGAAGTGGACGATAAATGGAAATTGATTGAGTTTCTAAGTTATTATATCTGCGTAAGTGCGTACATTATTATTTCTATGTACATTATTATATCTATGTTCACTTGATCTATGTTACGTCATTATATTAAATTTGTTTTGCGCAATCGTATCATTGCACCTTGTTTATCTTTATTATGTTTGTTTGTGTATGTATATTATTATTTCTTTGTTATTATTATTATTGATTCTTTGTTATCAATTCGATGTTGATCTATTATTTCCATGTTTTTTATGTTATTATTGTTAATTCTATATTATTATATCTTTGGCATACTTGAACATGTCACATTGTATTGTGCGAACTATGAATGTATGTTTATGTGTGTGTGTTGTGTTTTTTAAAATGTTGTCAAGATGTTTGCATGTGTAGTGTATTTACGAATATAATTGTATGTGTGTGTGTTTGTGTGTGTGCGCGGGTGTGCTGGTTTGTTAGGATCATGGATACTGCATGTAAGTTGTGACTAGGATACCATAGTTTCAAACATCAAAGCATAGACGGGACAACAAGCAAGAAATAGATAAAAATAAGAAGAATAATATCAAAAAACCACAATAGTCATCACATCACAAAAAAATTTAACAAAAATAAATAGAAGTATGTACATACGTGCATACATACTCATAAAAAAAACAAATATACTGGCAAACAAAAGATTCTAAAACGGCGCTGCAATCAACGCATTAATAACCGCTCATTTCCGGCAACTCTTGCCACGACCGGAAGTAGCTTGGCTCTCGTTCGTCCGCCATTTTGATTTTGTCGTCCGTCCGTCGGCCATCTTTGTTTGCCTTCTTTTCTTTTGTTAATGCACGCGTTATTGCTCTATGAGCTCGTTTTTGTTGTTGTCATGATGATGATTATTAACATTATTATTATTGTTGTTATTATTATTATTATTAAATATAGTAGTAGAGGTAGTAGTTGTAGTAACAGCAGCAGCAGTAGTAGTAGTAGTCGTAGTAGTAGTAGTTGTTGTTATTGTTGTTGTAAAAGTAGTAGTAGTAGTAGTAGTAGTAGTAGTAGTAGTAGTAGTAGTAGTAGTAGTAGTAGTAGTAGTTGTAGTAGTAGCAATAAAAGTAGTTGATGTTGTTGTTATTGTTATTAATTTTGTTGTTTGTGTTGTTATATTAAGGCCACAAAATATAATTAAGTGTGGCATTTTGAAGGAGTTGTCTGTGTTGTTGTTGGTAGCATGTTGTCCTTGTTGTCAAGGATATTTTTATTGTTGTTGTTGTTGTGGTTGTTGTTGTTTTTGGTAATAATTTAATTCATTTTTGTTGGTAAGGGTTTGTTAAATTGTTGTTTTAATGTTTGGTTTTTACAACAGCAACAGCAACATCAGCAACAACAACAAAAACATCATCAACAACAACATCAACAACAACAAATGAAACATCACTTATTAGATGAAACTCACAAGTACCGGGGACTCATTAATAAGGATATCGCTAGAATTAGACTGAAGTTGCTAATATATCTCAATTCTCCCATTTACAATGATAATTTTTTTCCATTTTTTATAAAACATTTTTATTATTCTTATTTTTCGCAGAAATGATTTACTCAGAAAAGAAATTCATTTTAAAAAATCTCACATATGCTAAGCGGAAAGTCCTATATAAATGGCTGCTACTGTTTTTTTGTTATTATTATTATTATTGTTGTTGTTGTTAGCAGTAGTAGTAATAGCAGCAGCAGCAGCAGTAGTAGTAGTAGTAGTAGTAGTAGTAGTAGTAGTAGTAGTAGTAGTAGCAGTAGTAGTTAGTAGTAGTAGTTAGTATTAGTAGTAGTAGTTGAGTAGTGGTATTAAAAGTAGTAGTAGTAGTAGTAGTAGTAGTAGTAGTAGTAGTAGTAGTAGTAGTAGTAGTAGTGGTAGTGGTAGTAGTAGTAGTAGTTGTAGTAGTAGTAGTATTGGTAGTATTAGGGGTAGTAGTAGTAGTAGTAGTAATAGTAGTAGCGGTAGTACATCGATGTGATGTTTCATTTTTTATGTTCTTCGCAAATGAAAAGAAGAGAATAATAATAATTTCTTTTTTCACATGTTATTATTTTTATTATATAACAAAACACCCAAGAAAACAAAATAATAATAATCTTTCGAAATTATAAACTCAAATTTAAACACAAAAAAAATAAACACAATTGAACGAATGATTAAATGAATGGATGAATGAGTGAATGAATGAATAAATAGAATATATATATATATATACATATATATATATATAATATATATATATATATATATATATATATATAGATATAGATATATAATTTATAACCCTTGCCTTTATTACGATAAAAATTTGTCTATTCACTATAGTACTTTTAAAAGTAATGTATTATTTAATGATAATTGAATACATTTATTATATATATATATATATATATATATATTATGTATATATGTGTGTGTGTATGTGTGTGTGTCTGTACGTGTGTGCGCGCGTCTGTACGTGTGCTTTTCGCTTATGTGTGTGTGTGTGTGTTTTGTTGGTCATGTTATGTTTATAAATTTGTCCATTTCAAATAAATGGAAAAAAAATGATGTGACGACGACGATGATGACGATGATGATGATGATGATGTTAATGTAACAAAAAAATTGAAAAATTAGTTCTTAAATATCTGTTACCCTATTTTGTTTCCGATTTTTAGTGGTGATATTTATGCAAAAAACGAAATTTTCATTTATTCATTCATTCATTCGTTCATTCATTCGTTCGTTCATTCATTTATTCATTCATTCATTATTCGTTCATTCATTCATTCATTCATCAATTCATCCATCCATGCATTTATTCATTCCTTTTCTAGTTTGCGACTTTATTTATTTGTCTTTTCGTTCAATCGTTTATTCATATATTTTTTCATTTACATAATATAAAATAACACATGATAACGATATTTTTTATTCATTCATTCATTCATTCATTCATTCATTCACCCATTCATTCATTCACCCATTCATTTATCCATTTATTCTTCAATAGATAGCAATATTTAAATTAGACTACAATGAAGATGAAATAGAAACAGAAATGTCAGTCTGAAGCGATGGGCCTCCATTGAAAATCGCACCACAACCACCAATACCACTGTTACCAAGCGGACCACCCCACAGATCCTCACCACCACCATCATCATTATCGTTATTGTTGTCGTCGTTGTCGTCACCACAACAACCACCAGTCTTAACATCCACATCATCATCGTCGTCGTCGTCAACATCGTCGTCGTTATCATTTTTAGTTATCATCCTCTCGTTAACGAGTCGACAGTGAAGTTTCGCCTTCGACCGTAGCGATTCAATGCTACTTTTTCTCGAAATTTTTTGAATCCCGCCAACGTTACTGAAGCTTTTATAACTGTTACCAGCACCTCTACTGTTGTTACCACAAAAAACATCATTGCCGCCAATACAACTGCCACCAACGCCAATCAAACCGTCACGAAGTTGCGGTCGAACGAATTGTTGCAAAAACGCCAGGGCGCGTATATCTAAAAAAGATTTACTTTTAAACGCCTCAAAGCGCTCCAGTACTTCATCATTTGTAGAGACTCTGACGTCATCGGAGCGTCTTTCGGCAGGAGAGAGCGGGGAACGAGGAAGTTTGATTGGCTCGTTTAATGGTGACATGGAGGATAACGCGGATGATGTTGATGACGTTGATAATATGTTGTTCGACGGATGTGACGAAGGAGGTGATGGTGTGGACGGCTGCGGGGAAGTTGAGGGCTTCACGTGCTGGAATGATGTGGCATTCCTACCATTTTTTAGCAAAAAATTGGTGTGCATAGGTGCCGGTGAAGGTGAGTTGAGGTTCGAAGATGGTGCTGCGTTGGTGGTCGCCGACGTGAGCGGTGAGATGCTGGTGCTCTGTTTGAAGAACGGAAACTGATGTTGCTGCTGCTGTTGCTGCTGGTGGTGGTAGTGGTGGCGAAATAATGATGACGATGGAGTGTTGAAGATGCACGGAAGAGAATTGATGTGATTCGGAAAGAGATGTAGATGGTGAGAGAGGGGATGGTGATGTTGTTTCATCATAAGGTCGGCCTGCTTGCCAAAAAATTTAAAATCCAAACCACAATCGCTACCACCGCCGCTACCACCATTTTCCATCAACCCACCTGCATATCTGTGACAATTATTGTTAATACTCGAGCTGCTATTATTATTATTGTTGTTGTAAAAGTTGAATGTTTGCTGTCGAATTTGTTGTTGTTGTTGTTGTTGGTGTAACGAGAGGGCAAACATCGGTGCGAACCTCGTGGCAAACAGGAGGGGTTCGTTGAGGTTGTGGTTGTTAGGGGGTGAGGTGATGAGGGGCGGTTGCAGTAGAGGGAAGTCAGCGTTGAAAAAATTCGGCGACTCGTTGCCCATTAGCTTTTCCCGCTTTCGCCATTTCGCTCGCCTGTTCTGAAACCAGACCTGAAGTACGGGGAGACAAAAGGGAATTTAAATAAAAATAAATACAAAGAATACAAAAAAAAATGTTTCCAAAATTGCTTGGCCATATAATAATAACAATAATGACGTCATTCATAGCGACAACGGCGTCAGCAGCCACGCAATAGCAGCATATACTGCTGCAACGTCCCCAGAAGCAGCATCCATGACAGCAATAAGAATAATAATAAAAAGAATAATAATGATGGAAATGATAATAATAAAATCGTCGTCGTCAATGTTGTAGTAGATGAAAATTCGTTTCGGTACGCTGTCGATTGCACTCCAATTAAGCCTCCATTGACGATTGAGAGGGTAACGAGGAAGATGATGATGATGATGACTAGGATGAAGATGATGATGATGATGACGATGATGAGGATGATGATGATGATGAGGATGATGATGATGATGATGACGATGATGAAGATGATGATGATGATATCGATGATGATGGCGAGGTTGATGTTAGTTAAAGAGTTTGCTTACATCATACTTTAATACACGTATATAGACCCACAGATACACACACACACACACGCACAAATACAGTTTAAACACACACAAACACACACAGTTTAAACACACACAAACCCACACAAAGACACACATACACACACACACGCACGCATATACACACACATACATACAAAAATAAATAAACACGTCAATTACACGCAATTGGTCCTTTTTTATCGCCCAATTCGTTCATTCACTCGCTCATTCGCTTGCTTGCTCCAACGCTGTATCATTACGAGATTAAGATTGCGTATGCGCGCGTATGTGTGTATGTGCATGTGTGTACGTGCAAGTGTGTGCGTGCATGTGTGCGCGTGCATGTGTGTACGTGCACGTGTGTACATGCGTGTGCGTGTTAGTAAGCCGACAAGGCTGCTGTAAAATAGCAGTTGGAATTATGTTAATAATACTTCACCATCAAATTAGATAGTATGTTTTTTTAGAAACTAAATTAAATAAATATCCTGTAAAATATTAATTTAATATCACACATACATAAAGACAAACACACACACACACACCAAACACACACGTACACACAATTTGTAAGAAAGTTAAAACTTCAAAGAAATGCATATATATATATATATATATATATATATATATATATACCTTTATGTGCGTGTGTGCGTGTGCGTGCGTGTGCGTGTGTTGTCCAATGAAGCATACTTAATGTGTTAATATTCGTTACCATGACAACATAATCAATGACGTCAAGCAGCGCATCCAACCAATCAATTGTCTGGATTATTGTCCACGTGATGTTTCAAATTTAATGGTAGTATTAGCGGGAATTGTGTGTGTGTGTATGTGCGTGTGTGTGTTAATATGTACGTTTATGTGTATGGGTGTGTGTATGTTTCATCCAAAGAAATTAAAAAATAATTTCAATATTAAAAAAATTAAAATTCATATTAATAAACGCTATATATTTTATATATATATATATATACATGTGTGTGTGTGTGTGTGTGTCGCATGCGTTAGAGAGAGAAACAGAAAGAGAGAGAGAGAGAGAGAGAGAGAGAGAGAGAGAGAGAGTTATTTCAACTTATAAAGGTATTTTTTAATACAAATTGTTAATATCGCACTTGGTTCTTCAAACAAATAAGAAATAGTTTATAGCTGTATTTAAAATTTTAATATATAAACAAATTCGAAATAAAAATCATGACACGGAGATAGATAACATGTGTGTGCGTGTGTGTGTGTGTGTGTGCGTGTGTGTGTCTATGCGTTTGCGCGTTTATGCTAATTTAGTTATTTTATATTCTCAGTTATATAGTCTGTTGGCGGAGTCGAGATGAAATTTTCATTTATTTAATATTTACATTCAGTGTGTGTGTGTGTGTGTGTGTGTGTGTGGTGTGCGCGTCTGTGTGTGTGTTGTGTGTGTGTGAGTGTTGAAATCAATATCCTACTTTCTCTCTCGTGTTTTGCTTGCTATCGTCATGAAGGACTAGGTGGAAAGATATTTTTTGTAGGAATGAATGATTGAATGCATGAATGAAAGTATGGGTGATTGAATGAATGAATAAACGAATGAATGAATGAATGAACAAACGAGCGAACAAACGAATGAGTGAATGAATGAGCGAACGAATGAAAAAACGAAGGAACGAATGAATGAATAAAAGGATGATTATATGATAATGAGAGAGTGGTTACTTAAGTTGTTTGATCTCAATTTGTCATCTAACTCGCTCCATTGAGCAACACGTATGCTTTTTAAATATCTACCCAACGTTGTATCTATGTTTGTTTGTTTGTATGTGTGTGGTTCTATGTCTGTACATGTATATGTTTATATATGTGTGTATGTATTGTTTTTTTATGTATGTATATTTGTATGTTTGTATGTATGTATGTATGTATAAATGAATGTACGTCTGTAAATCTGTATATACAAACGTTTGTATGCATGTGTATGTGAGGGTATCTGCAAATGTCTGCGTTTGTGTGTGTGTGTAATTATTTTCGATTCAATTAAAAATATCTTAAGCGAAAACGCCCGAAGTATTAAAATCGTCCAATACAAATATAGGGTGTGTATGGGGCGTGTGTATGTGTATTTGTGTGTGTATTGGTGTTTGTATAGGTGTATTTTTGTCTCGAATATTTAACTGTATGTGTGCTTGTGTGTGTGTATTTGTTTGTATATGAGCGTGTATTTTTGATGTATTCGCAAGTATGTACGTATATTTTTGAAAATTTTAGGGATTTTTTTTATAACTTGTAATAGCATTTTTTAAGCTTGTTCAAGAATAATGCTGAATAAATATGTATTATAAACGTTGCATTTATAATTAATTATTTATTATATATTTTAATAATAATATTATTAACTGAATAACAGTAATAATAACAATAATAATAATAATAAAACACTCCTTGTCATCATCACGCTCCATTACTCAGCAGACGTCCTTCCGGTTGACGTCACGCATTCATCGAAGCGTGACCTGTCACGTGATTGAGGTATCTAGTTCAAGGTCACTCCCTTGTAGGCCCCCTCCTATAGGAGACGAGACAATTAGGTCAGGGTTAAGAATGGGGTCAAGTGTGTCGCTGAGTGTGTGGGCGTTAATATTGCCGTAGTCGCTATTGTTATTATCTGGAAATTATTGGAAACATCACGATCGAGCGTTTTATATTTGCGTGTGTGCGTCTGTGTGTGTGTGTTTGCGTCCGTGCGTCTGTGTGTGTGTGTGTGTTGTATGTGCGTGAATGTGAATGATAAAAAACATCAGTTTATTAATTTTCATATTTATTGTTGATAGACTGAGTTTCCATCAATGAGTGAGTGCTAATCTGTGTGCGCGTGTGTATCTACGTTTAAGTGCGTGTGCGTGTATGTATGCGTGCGTGTATATGTATGCGTGTACGTGTGTGTATGCGTGTACGTGTTTGTAGGTGTGTGTGTGTTGTCGTGATCAAACGTTTTAATTTCTTTAAGCTTAACCCAGGAAATAAATAATACAGCTAATTACTAGCGATCATCTTACCTTCTAATGTCTTTGATGGTGACGTAAAGCTACTTGAAGAACACGTGACATCAGTCACGTGGGTTTTTTGTCGTTTTCAATTAGTTGCTTAAAATGTTGTTATATTTTTTGGGTGGGATTTTCCAGTTGGTTATTTATAGAAACGTCGGTTTGTTTAATTTTGTGTAGATAGTTCGGCTGTTCCTATTTGCGAATAACAGTGGGAGGAGCTTAAATGAAATTGATTGACAGCTTTTTATTTATGTTTTTGCTGATTTTGTTGATGCTATTGTTATTGATGATGTTGTTGAGCTATGACTGAATCCGATGATGATGAAATACGGGAGAAGTTTTAACATTAAAATAACCAATCAAGACGATGATGCGATAATGACGACGACGAAGATGATGGTGGCAAAGATAATGACTTCTCTCTTTTTCTCCTCTTTCTCTCTCTCTCTCTCTCTCTCTCTCTCTTTCTATCTCTCTCTTTCTATTTCTCTCTTTCTATCTTTTTCTATCTCTCTCTTTCTATCTCTCTCTTTCTCTCTCTCTCTCTCTCTCTCTCTCTCTTGACGTACATATGTCGTGTGAAAACATCAAAGAACACTTACATGCCTTGCCCGAGTTCAAATCTTGTAATGAATCGTAATTTCATTTACCATACAAACATGCATACATGCATACATACATACAAACATACATACGTACATACCAACGCATACATATATACACACGCACGCACGCACATACACAAGCACGTACGCAGCATAAACACATTTTGACATATGGCAAAAAAGCAAGCAACTTGGCAATTGCGATTCGATGAATCAATGTTTCAAACTTATGTATTAAATTTTTTGCCTTTTCATATTCATCATTGAATATATTATTTAATTTTTTTTATTTGTTTGTTCATTCTTTCGTTTGTTTGTTCGTTCGTTCGTTCGTTCATAGTTTGCTCATTAATTCATTCCATCACTCATTTATTCTTTCACTTGTTTGTGTGTTCATTCACTTGTTCATTCATCCATTTATTCATTTTTCCTTTAACTCATTGATTGATTGATTGATTTATCTATACTCACTCATTCTTTAGTATACACAAAAAAGAGATATATATATATATATCATATATATATATATATATATATATATATATATATATATATTTATATATATATAAAATTTCCCCTCTACTATATTTAATATAAAAATGAATATATAATTAAAATAAAAATTGAACAGGTGTGTGTGTGTGTGTGTGTGTGTCTGTCTACGTGTGTGTGCGTGTGTATGTGTTTGTGTGCGTGTTTCTGCTGTGTTTCGGTTTGCAATTGTATTTTTACAGGTATATACATGACATATTATATTATTAAGTTGTTGTGTAATAACACTGTATACATAAACTTCTAGATATTTTTAAGCTCGAATGTTCGTATGTATGTATGTTTGTATGTAAGTTTGTATGTATGTTCGTATACATGTATGTGTATGCGTACATGTGGTTGTATTTGTTTGTACGTATGCGTGTTGAAGTTATATGGCGTGATGATGTTGCTAATGCGAGCACATCTTTAAGCCATTGTTGGAAATAGCCTCAAAGAAGTGTGAGATTGAGATAAATGTTTGTGTGTTGGGGAAGTATGTGTGCGTGTATGTGTGTGTGTGTGCGTGCGCGCGCGCGTGTGTGTAGATGTGTGTGTAGATAGGTGTGTGCGTGTGAAAGTGTGTGTGAGTACGTGACTTGATGTTTCCTAATGAACCCTCTCCAGTGTAGTGCGGACATCTGCCCTGGTGCTCTCCTTCGAGTTTCCATTTCCGTCAGTCCATCTGTTTGTTTGTCTGTCTATCTGTCTGTCTGTCTGTCCGTGATTGGGTTTGTCAGTGTGATTGTGTGTATGTCTGTATGTTTGTTCGACTGTTTGTATGTTTATTTGCTATCTGTCTGCTTGTTTTTATTGCGTTTGTCTGAATGTTTGTTTGCGTATGTATTTTCAATTGTTTGTTTGCGTATGTATTTTCAATTGTTTGTTTGCGTATGTATTTTCAATTGTTTGTGTGTTTTTTTTTGCTTGCATGACGAAGATGAATGAATGAATGAATTATGAATAAATAGAAAATCAGAAAAACGTTAATTAGTGAATGAATTAATAAGATAATTAATAGGTTAATTGAATGATAGATAGACAGAGAAAAATGAATAAACAAATGAATGAATGAACGAATGAATGAATGAATGAAATAATAGACGGATGGATTGAATAATAATTGCTAGAAAAAGAAACATAATTAATATGCATGTTCGAATCGATGAAATGTAAATCATAATGAGATGTTGTTGTTGTTGTTGTTGTTGTTGTTGTAGTAGTCTGCCTGCTTACTTGCCTTACAAAGAAACTTCATCAGTATAGTTCATCCCCGAGTTATAATAATAAATTTTAAGTAATTTAATCAATACGTAAGTTTAAGCGTGTGTGTATATGTGTGTGTGTGTATGTATGTATATATGTGTGTGTGTGACATTCATATTAACAATAACAACAACAATAACAATAATAATAACAACAACAAAACCAATAATAAAGGTTTCATCGACTGATGTGATTAGGTGAGCGTTTAGCATTTGAATAAATTTAACAATCGCACATAAATAAATAAATGAACAAACATGCACATACACACACACATGCATAAATACACACACACACGCACACACATACATACATACACACATACATACATACACGCATACACAAATATATATATATATATATATATATACACATATGTAAATACGTATACACGTACGCATGTAACTAGGAATGTATGTATGCATGTATGTATACATACATTTGTACATACATAGTTTTGAGAAACAACTAGAATTTCGTTTCGTTTCGTTTCGTACATACATTGATACATTCGCAGTAGCAGTATACATATATACATACATACATATACTATATACGTACATACATACATACACGCATACTTACAAACATACATATACAATTTTGATATACAAGATACATATACAATTTATAACACAATCAATCCATCAATATCAATTCTTCATTTACATAATAAGATGAACGACTAACAAAAATATGTGTTGTTGTTATTATTATTATTACTAGTATAGTAGTAGTAGTAGTTGTAGTAGTATTAGCAGTAAAAGTAGTAGCAGTAGTAGTAGTATTAGTAGTAGTAGCAGTAGTAGTAGAAGCAGTAATAGTAGTATGATTAGAAGCAGTAGCAGGAGTAGTAGTAATTGTTGTTGTTATTAATATAATTATTATTTATAATATTATCAATAGTTATAATTGATAATAATGAAAACGTTAGTAGTAATAGTATTTTTTGTGACGATGACGATGAAGACGACGATGAAGATAAAAATCATGTTGTTGCTCTCAGAAGGAAAATATTGATCAAAAAACAACAACATCGATTTAAATTTAATTATTTCAAAATAAATAAACATCAACAAAAAGAATTACATAGAAAAATTAAAAGAGAGAGAGAGAGAGTAAAAAAAGAGAGAAAAGAAAGAGTGAGAGGAAGAGAGTTAAAGTATTATGCTCTATTATAAATTGATTAGATTTCATTTTCTTGATGTTGTTTATCCAACATCATATTGCTGTCATCATTGTTGTCGGTGATGGTGAGGTGATGATGATGAAGAAGAAGAAGAAAATGGAAAAGAAAAAAAAGTAGAAGAAGAAGAAGAAGAAGAAGAAGATGATGATGATGATGATGAAGATTAAGTAGAAGAAGAAGAACAAGAGTAAGAAAAAGAAGAAGATGAGGATGAAGATGAAGAAAATGAAAATGAATATGATGATGAAGAGGCTGGTGATTACACTTACTCACAGATTGGCACGCATTTGCGCGCACACACACACACACCACACACACACCACACACACACACACACACACACACACAATCACGAACAAACAATCATGCAGGCACACATATTCGCTATGGCGCAATCTCAAAAAATGACTTATGGCATGATTGCTAGAAATAGAATTTTCTTCGCTTACTTAGTAAATAAAACTGCAAACACATTTATGTTTGTTTGTATGTGTGTGTGTGTTTGTATGTGTGTGTGTGTTTGTGTGTGTGTTTTTATGTTTGTGTGTGTTTGTATGTATGTATGTATGTATGTATGTTTGTATGTTTGTGTGTGTATGTTTGTATGTATAAAATTATGTAGGTCTGTATGTAGGTTATATATGTATACACAATACATATATAACCTACATACACACACACATATACATAAATACATAAATATATATATATATATATATACATACATATATATATATAAATGTGTGTGTTTGTGTGTATTTGTATGTATGTATATGTCTGTATGCATGAGTATGTGTGTATGTATGAACATGTGCATGTTTGTATTTATACAAACGCAGATACGAAACTGATACACAAATAGGCAGAAATACAGAGAAGCAGGCAACAACATCGCTAGAAATCGCATCATATAATATAATGGGATGTTAGTATATTGCATTATCTTCAAAACAACGTTATAGAGGCTGGCAAATTGGCTTGTTAGCAGGTACGTTACTACATGTTAAAAATGAAACGTTGTATTTTGTATCTTTACGTTTGTATACATATGTAGGAGTGTTTATTTAGTTTATTTGTGTGTATGTTTGTATGTATGTTTGTATGTATGTTTGTGTTTTTTTAATGTTTTTGTTGTTTATAGATTTGCAATTTGATGTTGATACTACTGAATGCGTTATATCTACAAGGTAAAATGATGTTTTGTATGTTTGTATGTATGTATGCCTGTTTGTTTCTTATCTATGTATGTATGTATGAATGCATGTTTGGTTCTTGTCTTTGTATGCATGTATATATGTATGTATGTGTGTAAATATTATATGTGTGTGTATGTATCTATGTATATCTATGTATATCTATGTATGTATGCATGTATCTATGTATGTATGTTTGTATGTTTTTTTTTAAATTTCCTTAAATAATTCATCCTCCTTTCATATACAGAATTCTGCCACCAGCTAAACTTTCACAAATGAAACGACATATGCTGCTTGCTGCTATGGTTCTCAAGAAATAACATATCAAACGATATTACATACACACACACACACACACACACACACACACACACACACACACACACACACACACACACACACACACAAACATACATACATACATACATACATACATACATACATACAAACATACAAACGAACGAACAAACACTCACATATGGGTGCATACATATACATACAAACAAACAAACATCCAACCATATATAGGGGCGGGTAATGAATTCAGTTAAGCAAAACTAAAGCATTAAATGGAAAATTGAAAAAACAAATAAAAGTTTTATTGAATCAAAAAAGAATTTAATTTTATCATTTTATTGAACAACCAAAACACATATGTGTATATATGTATTGTATATATTCAAGTATGTTTGTATGGATATAAGCTTGTATGTATGTATGATGCATGTTTGTGTGTGTGTATGTATGTATGTATGTATGTGGCCCCCAAACGCGATGACTTGCCGGTGGTGATCTGGGCGCTGAACTCCCCAGTTCTACAAAATGCCACCAAAGGCTTGTAGCGTGCCCGCTACGACCATCGAAGTCCTACTCCTTCCAGCACGTGGCGGGGGCTGCTACTAACTAACAGGAGAGGGTGAAGGCGAGTTACTGGTGCCTAAACCAGGTTCCGGGCGGATGGCGCTCGTAAGGAAATACCATCTAGAAGAAGGAAAACTCTGATTTCAAACCTCCGCAGCCTTGGGCTATACCCACGCTTGGGAAAGGCTTGGGAGTAAACCCAGTCAAAAATCTAGCCAGGATAGCTGGCTACGAGGATAAAACTGCAGTTTTCTTCTTCAAACTTCTGCGTCCACACTGGTCGCTCGGCGTGTCTTAACTCGTTGTACCTGCTGATACCGACCCCTGTGGAGGAGAGAGTGTATCATGCCGCACAAACATGCTCCACTTAAATCAACCAGTGTGAAGGTGGTCTTGGTGGTCTGATGCTTGAATGGATGTGCAAACAAAGTCCTGCGGCGATTGGCGACGGGCACTGGTAGAGGGTACTACTGGCAGTGTCTAGTCACAACACAACACACAGGCGGCCTTGGTGTGATGGTCGTTTGTTGCTGATGGCTACAGCAATTTTCGTATCCTGCCAGGGTGACAAAGCAGCCCTATTCAGGGATGTACTGCTATCTCCAACCGGAGAGGGGACTAAAAAATCTGTCCTAAACAAAGCTAGCCAATATGTTGCCGACCTTGTCAGCCTACTGCGGCTGACTGGGTATCCTACTATGCGGTCAAAAAAAAAGAAAAATTTTAAATTTAGCTTCATGGAACGTCCGGACAATGTTGGATCTTGGGAGGTGGCATGAACGTCGATCTGCCATTGTTGCGTCAACGCTTGGAGCAACTTTTGAGGAGAAGAGCTTGTTTTATGAGCAACTCGGTGACGCTGTTCGTTCAACACCACACAACCATCAGTTGTTTGTCTTGGGTGATTTTAACGCCCGTGTGGGTAAAGACCACATCTTGTGGCCAAAAGTGCTTGGACGAAATGGAGTTGGTAGGGAAAATTCAAATGGAACCATGCTCCTCGAATTTTGTACAGAGCACAATCTTGTGGTGACAAATACAGTCTTCCAACAGGCTGACAGGAAGAAGACTAGCTGGAAACATCCACGTTCAGGACACTGGCATCTCATCGACTACATACTTATCAGACGACGCGATCTTCGTCTCGCTCGTCTAACTAAAGCGGTGCAAGCATCAACAATGTGGTCAGATCATCGCCTCATCAAGATGTCGGTGTTTCTTACTGTTAAGCCAGTCAGAAGGCAACACAAAACTGTAAGGAAAGCCAAACTGGATGTGACTCGGCTAACAGAACCGTCAGCTAGAAATTTGTTCCGCAAAGAATTGTGTGGTGAGTTTTCAACAAATGAGAGCACAGAATGGTCAAATTTCAAGCAGATTGTGGAGATAGCTGCGGTTAATGTGCTTGGATATCAGCGTATTAAGCATAGGGACTGGTTCGACGATCAGGATACGGAGGCACGTGGGCTGCTGGACAACATGCACAGCACCCATCTTTCTTGGATAGATGCCAGGGGCAACTGCGTCAAGAAAGCATGCTACACGCAAGCACGCAGTTTTGCACAGAGGAGGCTTCGTCAGATGAAGGAATCTTGGTGGTCTGCCAGAGCTGATGAATTGCAAGTAGCGGCCGGCCGCGGGGACATGAAATCATTTTACAGAAATCTGAAAACTGTGTTTGGTCCCCGCAGCTCCGGTAGTGTTCCGGTACTGTCTAAAGATGGTCAAACACTCATCAAGGGTGGCCATGGAATCCTGGCTCGTTGGGCTGAACACTTCAACAGTGTGCTAAATCAAGAATCCCGGTTTGATGACTCAGTCCTTGCTGAGTTGCCTGACTGGAGCATTGCAGGTGATCTCGATGATCCCCCTAGCCTGTCTGAAGTGGAAAAAGCAATCACCCAAATGTCGAATGGAAAAGCTCCGGGTTTGGACGGGCTGCCGGCAGAACTCTTCAAATGTGGTGTCATCGAACTTAAAACCAGGATGGCGACAATGTTCCAAGACATGTGGGATAGGAAATCGGTTCATCAAGATTTTAAGGATGCCCTTATCATTCACATATTCAAACGGAAAGGGAATCGTTCATGCTGTGATGATCACAGAGGCATTTCTCTGCTCTCTATTCCTGGAAAAATATTGGCCCGCGTGATCGTCAACCGCCTAACCAAGTACGTCAATGATGTTGGTATCCTTCCAGAGGGTCAGTGTGGCTTTCGGGCTGGTCGTGGTACTATGGATATGATTTTTACTGCCAGACAACTTCAAAAAAAATGTCGTGAGCAACAACGCGAACTTTTCCTCGTCTTCATAGATTTAACAAAGGCGTTCGATTCCGTCAACCGTTCAGCGTTATGGAAATGTCTCAAAAAGATCGGTTGTCCTCCGATTTTAGTGTCGATTATTTGCTCCTTCCATGAAGACATGAGGGCAACCGTAGTTGAAAATGGTGATCGATCCCCGGACTTTGAGGTGACGAATGGTACCAAGCAGGGGTGTGTCATGGCTCCCTTGCTGTTCAACATTTACTTCTCCCTAATGCTTCGAGTCGCCTTTCAACATTGTTTAGAGGGCATTCCAATCTGCTATCGCATGGATGGAGACGTTTTCAACATCAGACGCCTACAGACGAAGTCAAAAACACAAACCACAATAGTCCGCGACCTGCTCTTTGCGGATGACTGCGCTTTGGTTGCACATACACAAAGTGAAGTTCAGGCTCTGTTCAACTGCTTCCACACTACTGCAGAAAGGTTTGGACTCACGGTGAGCAGGAAGAAAACAGAGGTTCTGCACCAAAGCTATCCTATTTCATCGGATTCTAAAGCCATCGTAACTATTGGTGGCTCGCAGTTGAACGCTGTGGATCGATTTTGCTACCTTGGTAGCTACCTCTCCAACACTACTGCAATCGATGATGAAATTACGGTTAGGATTGCCAAGGCTGGTGCTGCTTTTGGTGGTTTGAGTGGACGACTCTGGAAGGAACGGGGTGTGTCGCTGGCTACTAAAATATCTGTCTATAAGGCAGTTGTGTTAACCACAATGTTGTATGGATGTGAGACATGGATTACTTATTGGCGCCATATACGTAGACTCGATCAGTTTCATATGAGATGTCTACGGGTTATCGCTAACGTTAAATGGGAGAATAGGGTGCCAAATACGACTGTATTGGAAATATGTGGTATCTTGGGTATCGAGGCGTTTTTGTTACAGGCACAGTTTTGTTGGGCGGGACATGTTATCCGCATGCCGGACACAAGAATTCCCAAACAGGTGTTTTTAAGACAGCTGGCTTCTGGAGTTCGCCTTGCAAGCGGTCCAGTTCGCAGATTTAAAGATAATCTGAAGGAAAACTTAAAAAATGTCGGACTGGATTCTAAAACCTTGGGTGTCGTTGCGCTCGAGCGTTCACAGTGGAAGACACGCTCACAAGCGGCAGTTTCCGCCTTTGAGGAGGCGCGCATTGCAGCTCTAGTAGGAAAAAGAGGACGGCGTAAGCAGGTAGCCCGGCATGGTAACAGCACAGGGGTTTGGGTTTGCGGAACCTGTGGTCGTCGATGTTCATCAAGAATAGGCTTGTTCTCGCATCAAAGGACTCATCAATGACACAATTCGTCGAACGCGACGATGTATTCCATTCATGTATGTATGTATGTATGTATGTATGTATGTATGTATGTATGTATGTATGTATGTATGTATGTATGTATGTATGTATGTATGTATGTATGTATGTATGTATGTATGTATGTATGTATGTATGTATGTATGTATGTATGTATGTATGTTTATATGTATGCCCTTAAATATACAAAACAAAGCAGCAACCACACCAGCAATTAACTCCCCGATGTTTCAAACAATGACATTAAATGTTTCTTTGTATAAATAAATGCGTGAATAAAAAAAAACACATACACAAATATATACAAACATGCGAACATGATGTATATTATAAACACATAAAAACATACAAACAATTTTATATTCATATTTCGTGAAAAGTTTGTTTTCAATGCGATTAATTAGCGACAACTACTGCTGTTGTTTACGCGGTGTTAAACGTTTCGCTTTGAACAATTCTATACAATTCCAAGCACGTGTTTGTATTTGTTTGTTTGTTTGTATGTATGTATGTTTGTGTGTATGTATCCATGTATTAATTAAATTGAATTGATTGTATGTACGTGTGTGTGTGTGTATGTGCATGGATAAGGAACGTACATTAGTCTAATGTTTTTGAGTGTCAGGTATGTATGTACACAAGCAAATGAAAAATAAACCAATACAAGACCAATACAAATCTGAAATCTCTTTAAAGGGCGCTTACAAACAGTCCCAACAAAAAAATATACAAACCTGGACCCTGGCCTCACTAAGGTCAAGTCTCAAGGCCAAATCTTCTCTGGTGAAAACATCGGGGTATTGGGTCTTTTCAAAGGCCCTCTCCAACTGGTGCAACTGGAATGTTGTGAACGTTGTGCGACTTCGGCGGACTTTCCGCGGTTTGAAGAGCCCGTCTGAGTCATCCAAGTCGTCTTCGTTGCAACTGTCCAT